GTGAAATTCGAACCCGCAACGTAAAGATTGAGACTTAAGAAGCTGGGGTGACAGCCATTTCAGACTATTTTGATCTCTTTTAAAAAGAAGAGCTCCATTTAAAGATATACAAAAATGATCAAATTTTAGAACTTAAATGTGTGATAGGCTCTTTGGATTGACAATATCATTTATGTTTTACATGTAGCTGATTTTGTTGGTAGTACAAGTATAAGTAGTAGTAGTAGACACTGTAATAACAATTACAATTATTAGACAAGATAAAAAAAATGTAACTATACAATTGAAATATAGTATTTGTTATCATTACAAATGCATACTTTATAGTTCATATTCTCTTTGTATTAAATTTATATAAAAATATTTACCACTTCTTTATCACAGATCAATTCAGCATAAAAATAATTCCTTTAGCAAATCAGTAATTTGAAATTAAAGAAAGTCAAAATAATTTATTATAATCATATTTGTTTTTTTAATGATTCAGAATCATATTATATTCCTGAACATATACACAGAAATAATATTTTATGCATTGGACTGAATACAAATGAAATGATTTTCAACACAAAATGTAAACATGCAAGACAAATACTCAAAATAAAGTTCTGTCAATACATGCATATGATAGACAAACACAAACACAAAACACATAGATTACCTTCAATATGGTCAAAAGGTCTTGATGTTACGTACTACCGCATATGCATACACATGCATGTCAGTCCTAGAAAGAATACATAAATATGAGTTATCTCCCTTAGCTGATATAAAAATCTTTAATAATGATAACTGATTAATTTAATGAAAAATACCCTTGCTTTAATTGAAATGGATTATTTAAATTATATGAAATAAAAACTAAAATTCCTAATTTTATGATAAATAACATTATAGTTGTTTACAAACTAGTTTTACAACTTTACATTTATTTATTCATTTCACTCAGTCCTACATACATAGAATTTTATGACTGAATCAGAGGGAAATGTCATATACAATATTTATTTTTCTCATTTACAACAACGATTATGACAACGAGCACACGGCGGGGGTGACCGGTCGGCAGGGGATGCTCACTCCTCCATGGCACCTGATCCCACCTCTGATGTTTTGGAGGTCCGTGTTTGCTCTGCTCTTATTTTGTATATTTGTTTAATGGACGTTGAGATTGAATAATGTTCGTTATTTCCATATTCTTCTTACACACGTACACAACCTCTCAAACTTTCAATCACCGTTCTAACACCTTTTTCACTCATTTTCATACAAATTCACAATCATACAAAATAATATAACAACAGACCTGAGATCCTTGAAGTACGGGGCTCGATGAAAATATAGATGTAGTGACAACTGAACCCCCAAATAGTAAACTCAGGGAATCACTAAAAATACACATGGTCCTCTTGGACACAAAGACCTGTATGACCAGTTCTACCCAAAAATAAATCTATCCACAATCTCATTGTCGGGTCACTCCATAGGTCACTGACCTCTCAAAGTTTATAGCTATAAATAAGTATAAGGGAAACACATCTAATAATTCTTAATTTCTAAATAATTCTAAAGTGAGATATTACCAATATTCTTCTGAAGAAGGATATCGAGATAATGAACAGTATTCAATCTCTAAAGTCCATTAAACAAGATACAAAATAATAGTAAAGCAAACATGGACCTCCTTAGCATTAGAAGTGGTATCAGGTGCCATGGTGAGTGAGCAGCAACTCCTGACCGGTCAAATCCGCCGTGGGTTCCTTGTCATGATCAGGAAATTACAGAAAGAAAAAGAATCTGTCGTCAATTCAGTGTAAAAATAATGGACTAAAAATTGGTATGAAAAACGTCAGTCAGCTTTTGACTCAATGATAAATTGTATGTGCTGACAAGTTCATTGTATCGACCATAGAACTAACGATGTCATTAAACGAGACTGCTGATATTCTGCATAGAGCATGTTCTTGCGTATCGAATCAACTGAGATATATATATATATATTCCATATGCAGGTGATGAATGTATATTGCTGTAAGGGAAGTTGACGATAGAAAAGTTAAAGTAATCAATGTTCATCATATAGCTTGGTTGTTAGATTACCATTAGTGTCTTTTTCAAGTAAAATATCCAATTATGAAGCAAACGTGTCGGACTCTGGGGGTATCTTTTATTTCAAGCTCACCAGGATATATCATATCAAATGGAAATTATCAATATTAATTGAGAATAAGTCGTCGATATATCTAAATTTTCGAGTTGAAGTCCACAGGAAGTGTTTTCTTCTTTTCGTGCGTAAGATTTTGCATAAATTCTGATTCATATCAATATAAATATTAGTCTGCAAAAAACGGAGCGCAATTTGTACCCATGGGAATTTCCAGAAATTGTTGGAATACCTGGACTCCAAACACCACCTAGATATTGTCAATCAGAAACTCAAGCATCTTTTTGATGTCAACTTCAGAGTACTTATGTGTGCAATCAGATGGTTTTGGAGGGGGGGGGGGGAAAGGCTGATAATGTTTATGCCAGGGAAATATTAAATTTTATCAATCAAAATTGCCTTTTTGTTTACAAAATAAATCATATATTTCGGTTCAGTCAAAATTTGAATGAAAATTTTATGCATGTGTAATCAATATCTAAATAAAGATTATTTCTATAATCAAAATAAAACAACACACTTTTTATGTTTGATGCGATAATAAAAAGCAAATATCCATTCAGGTACCACCAAGAACATACTTTACTAGCAGCACGTCTGTTTCTGTTAGGCTTGTTTTGTCTCCTGCGAGACACTTTCTTTTCATTTCTTTTATAAACATAGCTCATGGTACATTTATTAACCAAGTTGAATTTTTAAAAGTTCATTGAAACAATTCCTGTTCGACGGTTCTTATCTCTAATAACTGGACTAAATGAATTTCATTAGTCAAAATATTATTTTTGACCTAGATAAAGTTCTTTTTAAATTTTATAGAGGTTATAAAAATTTTGTTTGGGCTAGCCTCAAATGTTATTTAAATATATACACGTCACCGAGATATAACAACAGCCAATGAAAACCTCTTTGTAAGTATGTCATCAATCAGAACAGAAGAAGCCTCCAGATTTTGTTTTTTTTTACTTTTGAGTTCGCAGGTTTCCATGTACAATTTACCAGAAATAGCGTAGATTACACAGCTAATTGTGCCACGTACGTGTTACATATGGTTGCACATAACACATGTATCACGTATGTGAAATGTACGTATCACATACGTGTATTACGAACATACGTTTCACGTATGTGGTACAACGTACGTATAACATATGTGTGACTACATACGTTTCACATAACGTACGTTAAACGTATGTTTGGAATACACGTATGTGTTACGTACGTGAAACGTACGTGTAACATATGTTATGTGCAACCATACGTTACACGTACGTTGATAAACGTATGGTTTACATGTGTATTGTCAACCACATGTTACACGTACGTTAATTAACATATGGTTTACATGTGTATAGTCAACCACATGTTACACGTATGTTAATGAACACATGGTTTACATGTGTATAGTCAACCACATGTTACACGTACGTTAATGAACTCATGGTTTACATGTGTTTTATAAAGCACAAATGTCATGTATATAATATAGTTTCATCTTCCCAAGTCAAGAGTTTCTGATCCGCTCCGCTCCACATAAACCCTTGACCGAATAGGCTAAGTTTGACGGGGTTTACTGTCACGCCATCTAGTGAGATTACATATTTTGAACTCTCCTGACCTCTGCTATTAGCCAATCAGAGTAAACGAATTCAACAGGGAATTCGAGATAATATTGGTAGTCGGTAATAAATTCAATATAACTCAACTACAAAACTGAGACAAACCTTTAAAAGGGCTATCTAATGAAAAATACACTATCCTTCGGACTAAAACTGACGTGTTTTTATGGTTACGATGTAGTTTCAGTTTAAATAAAACAATGATTTTGATTGGTTTATAAAAACTTGCATGAGGCCATTCAGAGAACGTATTTCTAGCCCCGTGAAACTTAGCCTATTCAGTCAAGGGTTTATGTGGAGCGGAGCGGATCAGAAACTCTGGACTTGGGAAGACGATATACATGTAGTTTATGTGCATTATAAACCACACATTAAATATACTAATGTACATAAATAAATTATGGTTAACTTGTTTTTCTAAAGCTCTCATTACATATATGTTGATGAATATAGTATGTGTATTATCAGGCACGTGTTACATATGCATTTAAAAAGGTGTTTTACATGTGTGTGAAAACCTATGTTTGAGAATGAGAAGGCTGTATATTTTGTAAATTCATACTATTACATACATGTATGATAAATGTAGCTTGACTATAAATCTAATCCTTTTTATTTTATTTCAAATTTAATTTATTAATCAAATTATCATTTAGTTTTTGCTATAAAGAGAAAAAAAAAACAATGCGTTAAATATTTATTGGTGCTAGGGAATACATAATTTCGCTTAAAATACAGGAACTTTTTGTATAAAAGTATGGCTGACTTCCACAACTAACTATTTTACCTTAATAGTTTAAGTGATTTTGGAGAACTAATCAAGATATTATTTAACATAACAATCAATAGGCACTTAGCAATGCTTAGGGCTTAACCTGTTATTCAGGAAGAAGAGCAATCATAGTGATATGACCATCTATAAAATCCTTCTTATAATATGTATAACATGTCCTTAGATCAGAAGTTGCATGTATTTTATCAAACTAATAATTATATATTTTAAAATCTAAAATATCTTTTTTGACATAAACATTGATGTTTGTTTAAACCCAATGACCATGAGATCACAACTGAAGCATACATGTGTGTGCGTTGTTGACTTGTCGTGTGCGTATCTAATGTTTCAATTTATTTCACATTGTTTACCTTACGTCCATTTTCATGTCTGGCATGATGTTATGAGTTCGCATTGGTTTAAAATTTACTCTAAAAACAATAAGGAAAAACACCAGAATTGCCTAGGTACAGGGGGCCGCCATTTTGGACACCCAACATTGAGCGGAGGAGAAAAGCTGACAGGAGTCCTGATTGGTCATTAACCGAAAATCTTTGTGGTGGAATTTGACAGTGAAATATAAGTGACAAAAATGAGATGTGACTTATTAGAATATGTAAAAGGATATAGGACTTATAAAGGAAGACTTGAGATGAGGGGTGATATTTTACTGGACACTTTCATTCAGTGCGGATCTACACCAGTTGGAAACGGGCCAAAATTCAAAGGAAAAACGCCGCGGCAGTGTATATTTTTCGTGGTGGAATTTTGAAGAAGAGGTGTTGGACTTTGCTTTAAAGTGACTGATTTTTTTAAAATTGATTAAATAAATAAGTGACAGTGATTGGAATTTGTATGGAAGTCTATGGGAAAACATTTAGTGGTGTTTGTCCTATACAAAGAAGGCAAGAACTACTTTATAAGGTAAGTGTAAGAAAATAGTGCAATTTAGGCGCCATTTGTCATTTTCATTATAAAATGGATGCATTTCTTGAGAATTTAAAAAAAAAATTACATGTTAAAAGTGAGCGGGGCCCCCAGGGGGACACTTGTGTGTATTGGAGGGGTAGGATTTCCTCCTCTGGCTATGGGTTACAAACTGTTTACTGGCCAGAGGAGGGTAGAAAGGTGGAAAAGGCACACAGAGTAGCCCTTATGGTCGACAGGAAACAGACACGGAGTCAGTTTCCGCGTGACAATGTAGAGTGCAGTCACCTGTGTCACAATAAGCTATGTGTGAACCCCCAGCACTTGGTGTTAGAGTCCCACTCTGTCAACCAGGAGAGGAATCACTGCCAGTCTCAGGGGCTGTGCAGCAAGTCACACTTGCCCTGGTGCATTATATGTAATTATAGTTTACATGTAAATTTTATTTCATTTATTTAGGGGTTTTGAATAGCTGTGCTCATTTTTTTTGCTTAAATTTTGAGATTTTTGGTCTTTAACTGACTTTGAAAACATCATATTCTTTCTGTAATTTACTTCCTCCTGATGCTGTTCATAAAGTTTATACAGTTTTTTCCTTTTAATTACTCTAGTATTTCTATATTTTTTTGATTTCTGATATATTTTTTGCCTTTCATAAGTATTTTGAATATTTTTCAGAGATTGACTAACCCTCCCCCCCTCTGGGATGGGGGCACCCACACCAGCACATAAGACCTTGATGGATTCCCCCGGGCCGTTATTTGTACTGTGAGCTGCACTGTGCGCCCGACCGTGGAAGTTGCGTGCGAAAGTGACATTCTTAGGCAGTGAGCGCCTTAGACGCCTGTTGAAGCTCTCCACTTTCTGTGTATTGGTATTAAGAATGGACTTGTCTAGGACTGACGGGGCAAGCCGCCTGTTGACGCAGGTCTGGAGAATCCTTGCATTGGCCCTGGAGTATGGAATTTTGAAGTTTCCATCAAGGTAAGCACTTTTAGTGAGCCAATTTCTCTTTCCACCCTTGCATACTAAAGAGTGTTTTTTGCACAAAGCATGTTCACCCATGTAGCAGCAAATTATTGCATCACTCACATAAGAGAGTTGCTTCTTAATTTTGCTTGCATGACCTGTGCATTTAATTTGAGCTTGGTTTATCTCACCAGTGCATCTGTCTGTAAAATCTATAGCAAAGTTATGCAGCAGTTTGGTTCTTTCAGCTTTAGTACTTTTGGGCATAATTTTCTGTAAAGATTCATCTTTCTTAATGGCCTTTCTGACATTTTCAGCAAGGTGCCGAGTGTCGACAAAATGTCGCGGTTCGTCCGATAGTTTGCCCTCCGCATACAAAGACTCTGCGGCCTTGAATATTGTACTATCGGGGTCAGATGTAATGTCCTTGACATTTAAATCATTCTTGAGAAGGTCTTGTATGCCCTCTTTGGCCCATGTGAATTCGTCACCAATGTTTTGTGTCATGGGTATATTTGCCCCACATGTCTGCTCAGTGCACACATGGCTTGGATTGTTCTTGAGGTGCTGACCCTCGGGACACATCTTGTTTTTGGTCACTAGGGATATTATGTCGTGACCACTGGTCACATCCTCTGCAAGAGAGAAGACGGTCTGGGTAGCAGGCTGGAAGGGGGTTTCCCCCACCCCAGAGTAGAGAGGGTTATTATACATCCCATCGCACTGTATTCCTATGTTATTTGGGTTTGGTGCCCCCCGCAATTTATTAATATTAACTAATTTCTTGCATCTTTCCTTCATATCACATTTATTAAGGGTGACTACTTTTTGCATGACGGTGTTACTTGTCTTTTGTAGTGAAGACTCAGAAGGCGGTGGAGTGTTGGTGGCCATAAGTATTTTGCGTAGCGATGAACTGCCAATCGGGGTTTGACTTAGACCTACTTGAAGGCCATAGTTGACTGTTGCGGGTTTCCTTCCCCTTGAGTTAGTTTGCACTTCCTCATAGAGGTTGTGCATTTCGGACACATAAGGGCACCTGCTGCATTTTAGCCGAAGTCGAGTACCCAGGCCACGCCTGTCCTCGGAGTCCATGTCCCAGGTCAGTCTGCCATCACAGCCAGGATTGGTCCGCCCATGTTCTTTAAAGGCTGTATTGAACATCTCGCTTGTCTTTCCGAGATGGACAAGTCTGTGGGAGTCTGAATCACAGCTGCTGAAACCAGTGTTGTACCTAATCACTTCCTAGCCAGGTAAGTTCATTTTCAGAAATTAGAGTTACTCCCCTTAGTCTATACTTGTTTTCAGAATTGAGACAAAAGACTCATCACAGTCTAAAGAATCTGCTTTTGTAACTTTTTTCCTCAAATAAATGTTCAGTTTTAAAGATTGTTACTATAATTTAGAGAATTAATTAATTTTGAGTTAATTAAGCTTATTAATCTGACAGGATCTTAGGTATACCCCTAATTTCAGGAAAACTGGCCTTATATGGGCCTTTTATAATAAGTAGAAAAGTTATTTACTAATTAATTTAGTTAAATTGTATCATTTATTAAATTTCAATAAATTTTAAAGAACTAGAGTCGTTACCCCATGTTTTCGGCCTGCGTCAAAACCTCAGGATTCTCCTTCTGTTTCAGGGGTCTTGGCCGCAGCAACCGGTGGCACCCAGGCCGCAGCATCATTTCCTGCTCCTCACTCACAGAGGGTGGATGTCTGACCAGTTCCAGGGTTTCCCGGTCTACTCTTGTGAATGGTGCAGGTGAGTTTTCTTCTTTTTTAAGTAATTTTCCTTTGTTGTGAGGCACATTTTTTTGTTTAAAACAGTAATTATTCCCTTTTTTAAATTTTCCCATCTTTGAAAAATGACCTAAAGTTTTACTATGGATACTCTGTCTGAAGTGAAATTCACTTGTGATGTGCTTTTTCCATTGCTCTATCAGCATCATGTCAAGTTAATGTGTTATCGTGCAATAATTTATTATCATGATAGGAATTAGCCAGCAACCCTCACTGCAAAATGTAGGTGTATTGAAGGGGGTAGTGACAGTTTTACTGCCATAGAGAAACAACAGTTCTAGATCAAATTACTTCTCATCTCTTTTGATAACCTTCTCTTAATTGGCCGTCAGCTGCTTAGTGATTTCATTTTGAATTGTAAAATTAAATACATGTTTAAGACATTTTTTCTCAATAATTTGTGATTTTTAGGCCATTTTTTTTAAAACCGGGTACAATATACCCGGAATGTGAAAATTACATGTAATCCCTCAAAGTCTCTTCAAAACATAAGAAATAACACTTTTAGTCAGTTAATTACATATTTTATTTGAATAAGCACTGTAAAAGTCAATACGAAGTTCACTTTTCAATACGTCTTCATATCACAGTTGCAGTCATTCTTTATAGGGGGTACATTAAATAGACAGTCATAATTTACATGTTTTTTCATGTAATTTCTTCATATTACATATTTTACATGTACAATATACATGTTATCTAAAAATGTCAAAATGGCCACTTTTTCACTTTGTTATCCTTTTGGTTATAGGAAAAACACCAGAATTGCCTAGGTACAGGGGGCCGCCATTTTGGACACCCAACATTGAGCGGAGGAGAAAAGCTGACAGGAGTCCTGATTGGTCATTAACCGAAAATCTTTGTGGTGGAATTTGACAGTGAAATATAAGTGACAAAAATGAGATGTGACTTATTAGAATATGTAAAAGGATATAGGACTTATAAAGGAAGACTTGAGATGAGGGGTGATATTTTACTGGACACTTTCATTCAGTGCGGATCTACACCAGTTGGAAACGGGCCAAAATTCAAAGGAAAAACGCCGCGGCAGTGTATATTTTTCGTGGTGGAATTTTGAAGAAGAGGTGTTGGACTTTGCTTTAAAGTGACTGATTTTTTTAAAATTGATTAAATAAATAAGTGACAGTGATTGGAATTTGTATGGAAGTCTATGGGAAAACATTTAGTGGTGTTTGTCCATAAACAAAGTTTTCTCCAATCTCGTCATGTGTATCGGACATCGGTAGAGGCACATAAAATTGAACTCGGTCATCGGTAGATATAATCTATCCGAATTCAAGAGCAAAAATATATTTAAAAAAAAAAGAAAGAAAGAAATTCATGAAAAATTCACAACAAATCTGAAAAGGGAGTAAATGATTCATCAAGATAATTATCACATATACTGTGGGTACCGTCCGTATAAAACATATAAAATATACCTTCCGGAATTTTCCAGCCTCCATTTATGTACTACATGTACATTACCAGTGACGTCACTGGAAAGAGAAGTCTGACGTCTGCAAGTTCTAGGGCCTAGCTAAAGGTGAGGAATGCATAAAATCAACAATTATTTAATTATTTTATGACTGTGTGTTGCATGTAAACTAAGGGGGGTGGTTTTTTTTTTTCAGTGTATTACATAATGGAGACTTGGGTTACCAAAAACAGAAAATATTGACCACGTTGAGGCAGTGAGCTGTCTTGGTCAGCACCCAGGTGTATCCATCAACACGGGCACGTTATATCTAAATGAAGGTGAAGTTTAAAAGTACTGTTATAACAATTAAGTATTTATTTAAAATGTTTTTTAACCTAACAAATAAGATGCAATAAAAAAGAAACAACGTATACAACTAGTATTTGATGTAAAGTTCCACTCCCTGAATTTATTTCTTTTTACAGTATTTATTGATAAAACATCACATTAGATGGTAAATGACATTAATATCTTTGAGTGCAATAATGGTGTAACAGTTTTGTTTTTACATATCTGCCCTTTTAATCCTTATGAATATAAATTGTGTTTGAGATTGAGAATTTATATGTGATTTTAGACATGCATTCCAGGATGGTGACTGAAGCTCATCTTTGTAAACACCTAAATGCCTAGAATGGACTCCAAAACAGATTCTTAAAGTTTAACCAGTATTATCTTGAATATGGTAATACTTTTAATTATAAAGGAATCAGATTTTCTGATCATATTGCTTTTAGACTTGCAAATACTACATGTAACTTGAAGCTTTTCATGTAAAATTTGAAATGCAATCAAGTTTGACGAATTTCACACTACTAAGAGTTATCTCCCCTTGTCGGCATAACTCTCATTTTTCCCACTTTGTCCATTGTAAGTTACCTGTTATTATTTTCAATCTTCAAACGTTATTGGACTATTTAGATCTGTACTGGTACATGTATTGCCGAAGTTTGGGGCAACATGAAAATCTTAATGAACGATATTCAATTATTCATTACAGATTTTATTTTTAAGATACTGACCAATAAATTTGGAAAGGTTACAGAGGGAAAAACAGGGCCTTATGCTGGATTGACCTCACAACGGGGAATAACTTTTGTAAATTTAATGTGAAAGTTGTCTATTTTTTTTAACATATATTTTTTTTTAACCTCAAGGACAAAAAGTATACACTTGGAACACACACAAAAACAGATGAGTTCATGCCAAGCTAAAGATTAATGCAGATGGTAAGTTCAATTTTTCATTTTGTAACTCTTCTGGTTTTATCCAGATCGGACCTTACATATAATTAAGTCAGCTTCAGTATATAATAGAAGAATATGGAGATAACGAACAGTATTCAATCTCAAAGTCCATAAAACTATACAAAATAAGAGCAGAGCAAACACGGACCCCCGAAACATCAGAGGTGGGATCAGGTGCCATAATAAAACAACTATTTACTTACTATTCGGAAAATAGCTTGTTTATCATCTCCCTCAACAGCAAACTATTTCTCTCAGCTGCATCTTGGGGAATAGTTGTTGTCTTGGGGGACGATAAACTAGCTTTTGTCCTTATAGCCAGTAAATAGGTGTACATGAACACTGTTTTTAGCTCCTCTGAGCCAAAGGCTCAAAGAGCTAATGCTATGGCCATTTGTGCGGTGTGCATAAACTTTTTAGAATGTGGGCCATAACTCAAGATCCCCTTGGACAATCATTGTCAAATTTTCACAGAGCATCCTTGGTCCAAGGGCTACCATTTATACTAAAATTAGGGTTTGGACCCTTATGCAATGGGGAGATAAACAGGAAGATAAAACCAAAAGAAGTCTGTATTGGCCTAGAATTGTTAAACTTTGTGAGTTGAGGCATCTAGGGTTTTTGGAAAATGTCGACCAAAAAGTAGGTCACCATGACCTACTTATGGTATTTTATAGCTCTATTGAAATATCTTCAGTCCTAACTGGCTATGAATCATTATGGAACTTTCTTGGTTGATGTATTTTGGGTCTTATAAACATGGAGGCTTCAAATACTAGTAATAGATTGTACAATTTATTAGAAGAGCAATTCAAGGCCCTTGGGTTTCCAGTTGTCCATCGTCATACACTGTGCTCTGTCTGGTAAAATTTTAGCATTTACAGCATCCTCCCAACACAGGGCAAGCCCTGCCACCCAAACTTTAAATTTTCAGTTTTTATGAAAGAAAAAGAAATATTTGAGGTTTTTGCTATTGTAAGGGGAATATTTTACTCATCAAAAGGGAAAAAATTAGATCTTCAGGGGAAATTTTCTGTAGGGGAAAAGCACCCATTATCGGTAGTAAATATGCCCTAGATTAATCCCTGAACCCATCAAAATTATTCAAAATTGTATTTTTTTGATTGGACATCAAGCAAACTATTAGCAAGATTTTAATAAGCATTGAGTCTTACTAAAATTATGAAATTCATATAGCCCCAGGGTAGGTGGATCAGATGTAAAGGCACAGCTTTATTAATTAATCATAAACTGAAAATGCATTGATTCATTGAAAATCTATAGAATGCTCCTAAGTTGAAAGCAAAAAGACTAAGTTCATGACAATGAGGAATAAGTTTTATACCCCTGTAATCAAAGATTCTGGGGTACATCTATATAGCTTTTGCCCTGTCTGTCTGTCTGCAAAATTTTTTCACATTGGCCATATTATTTTAGTGGGTGAAAGTATGGCCTTCATATTTCACAGACCTGGGTATTCATTGTGACAATACTTTTGTATTGGTACACCAAATTAACCTTTAGAATTGAACTTGGATTGTGACTAACTTAAGTTTTAAGAAAGTTTCATAACTTGAATCTTGGCCATAACTTTTGAACAGTTGGTGCAAGGGCTCTCATACTTCACTTGTATATTTACTGTGACAAGACCTTTCAATGGGTATAAATTAAAATATTTGACCTTGAACTTCTAGTTTAACCCACTGTTTAAAAAAATTTATAACTTTGATCATAACTTTTGAGCTGGTAGTAGTAGGGCTTTCATATTTCACAGATTTATTCTTTGTGACAAGTCCTTCCTTGGATGTCAACAATTTGACCTTGACTTTGGAGTTTGACTTACACTTGGGAAACTTTAACCATAAGCTGGCATATGGGGTATTAGTATGTACAAACACATCTTTTTTTCCGAGTTCACACACAAATCAATGCTATGTAATGAATTTTAGATAAGAGAATTACAAGGTAAATATTTGAGGATATAGTGAAAAAAATAGTTTAAAAGATCATGGTTATGAATACTAAAAAATTAATTATTTAGTATTTATATTTAAGTCATACAGTGAATCAACCAGGATTAATATCAGGATAATAATAATGTTCAGGGGGAAAAAATGGGTTTTTCCCTTATTCCATGCATCTAATATTTTCTTTTTCTTTACAGGCAAAAGAGAACTGGAGAAAAATGAATTGATGTTAATTAACATACTCTACACTAAATTTGGTTTAAATCTAAGTATGTCTTTTGTTGTGATTGCTTCAAGAGCAATTAAGGATCAGGAAATTTAAAGTGAAGGATAACCAGAAAGTGGATCATTCAACAGATGAAAAGAAAATATGCCTTTGAGGGAAATTATGTCAAATGCATGAATTGAATATCTAAATTTCACGTAATTTTTGTTTCACCAACATTTACAATATGTGAAAAAAATGTTCAAAACATGTGTTTAACCATGGTTTGACACATTTTTGTATGGTATTCATACATTTACTATATGAGCAGTGCAAATAATAAACCCATTAAACATGTTATGAGAAACATATGTTACATACACGTTACGTTATTCATATGTGAAACGTATGAATAACATACGTGTGCAATATATGTGTAACGTATGGTGGGCAATACGTACGTTTAACATATGTGACACACATGATATTCACACGTGTGAAAACGTATGTATAACATACGTGGTATCTTTTTCATGGAAAACGTACGTGAAGTCACGTACGTGTCACATACGTTTAACATACGTGAAACGTACGTGGCACAATTAGCTGTGTAGCGTTTATCAGACATATAATTTATTGAAATTAAAAAAGAATATATTTCTAACCATGCTTGCGTTAACATTGAATTATCTCAAAATAGTACATTTTGAACTTCAACCAGTTAAATGAAATCTATTTTTATCTATGTTTATTATTATACATTTAATTCAATCGTAACGGAAGTTGACAAAGATTAGTCCCTAGAAACAGAAATTCATGGTAACAGTAAGTGTTTAACTTAAACGTCACTATTCATTATAGGTATAAATTTACTTTTATCATTTAGATTCACCCTAAAAGAGTACAGTAGAGTACAGTTAATAAATTTTAATTATCTTTATAAATATTTTACTTTCGTTTTAAAATATTGATTAGGCAAGTTGAAATATACTCTTCCCTACAAACAGAGATTAGTTATTATAGTAGAAGTATAACCCAAACTCGGTGTTTAAAGGTTTGAGGGATAAAACAGTTGCAGTGTTTTTGTTTTAGAATCTTGCATTAAGTTTATAATTCAAGTACTGATCATGTGCGTCACATCTTAAAAAAATATTTTTCTTTCGTTTTGAAATATACTTCACAAAAGGCAATACATGATATTATTATTAACACGGATCAATTTTTAAAGTTCCTCTTCTAATTATATGCAATTCATATTGTATTTACAATTATTTGTCCTTGGTACAACCTGCAAAAGGAAATCCATAATCGGCGCAACTAGGGTATATGGATACGTAGTCCCAGTAAAAATGCCTTCATACGCCAAATTTGACGGGTTGACAAGTCGACTGGTAGACTGGCTGACGGGTTTACAGGTCGACTGGTTGACAGGTCGACTGTTTGACAGGTCGACGGGTTGACCCCAAGGTGGGATAGAGGAATAGCCTCAATGTATTATGTTTGATAACTAACCCTGATTTCTCAAGTGGGTTCTGGAACTAACCCTTATCTCTCAGGCGGATTCGATAACTAATCCTGACCTCTCATGTGGATTCGAGAACTAACTTTAATCTCTCAAGTGGGTTTGAAACTAACCCTAAACACTTAAGTAGATTTGAAACTAAATCTAATCTCTCGGTAAGGGGGGGGGGGGGGGGGGGGGGGGGGGTAAGTACTAAACCTTATCTCTTAGCCTGGTTTAAATACTAACCCTTATCTCTCAATTAGATTTAAAAACTAACCCTATTATCTCAGATGGATTCGAAAATAAATAAGAGGTGTTAATACCCATTCTCTGTAACCACTTAAACTTTTGTGGCACGCATAGTCACAGATTTTTTTCAATTTTGGCTGGAAAGTACCACCTCATAAACTACTTCGAAAAATATAGTTGGATCATATGAATGTTGGGTAGTTACCATGGAAACGGTGTCTAAAGTTGATTTTTTCTGAAAAAATGCAATATTTGGGAAAGTTTTTTAATGAAATGCGGCTACTTCAATTCATGTTACTAACAAAAATAAGAAATATAACATCTAATTTTAAAAGGCATGTTAAAACCTTGTTGGTATTCTCTCTATAAATATGAGAAATATTTGATTAAAATAGCTGACATTAACTTTGAAACTGAATTATCTCCCTTTGATAATTGTGGAGCTCTTTAAAAAGATTAAAAAAAATCATTGTACAAAAATGACTGGAAGTTGTTTACGTATAATCTTCACTCATTATTTGACAGACTACACCCCAATTAATACAACACTTAAGCTGTAAGCCAGGCTAGCTTAGTGGGAGCAGCTGGCATTTATTTAATAACAATTCATAACAAACAGGCATACATTTTGTGTATGTGAACAATGAAGTACTGCAATGCTTTGGTTAACTATGTGTTACATGCTATGCCTTATACCCCTATCAAAGACATTAAAAACCGCCCAGGAAAAACCATAGACGAGTAACTATGGAAACCTGTGTCCGTCGCTATGTAAATAATGCCTCAAGGGAGAATGCCGGACGTGCATTCGGAGCAGTACTTGGTATGCATAAACACCGTTTATGTACATGTACAATAAAGCAAAATCAAAATATATGACAATATTACATTATATAATATATTACATATAACAACATATGAATATAGATAAAAAAACTCAGCAAAAACACGTGTGTGTTCTGCGGAGCACTGGCTTAGAATGATCCAACACCTCACAAAATACCACCTTCTCATTGGCCTTCCTTTAGCCACGCCTACCATAAACAGGCATTTCCAATAAAATACGTTCCAATCATACAATGTTTTCCCGCTATACTACGAAACGCGGAAAACTTTAGTATAATCTTCACTCATTATTTGACAGACTACACCCCAAATAATACAACACTTAAGCTGTAAGCCAGGCTAGCTTAGAATATCAAGTTCAAAAGTTAGAGTGTGAAAAAATATAACTTTCAGATATCAAATTTATAAATTA